TCTCCTGTGATGCCTCTTCTAACCGAGGGCTCCTACCTGCCGAGGGCTGCAGGTGCCGAAGGCTTGGTTTTCAAGTCTTGTCCTCCTATGATGTTTCTGAGCTCGATTCCGTCACTGGTAGCCTTCGGCCATGGGGCCGAAGGCACCCCTTCGCGTATTGTGGGCTGCTTAGAGCTCCATTTTTCCGGGCTTGGCCCGTTTGGGCTTGTTGGGCCTGATTGTAGTAGAGGATGTATGTGGGCTAGGGGTCCCTGGGCCATATACTCCATCATAGTTATTTATTTATTTCAATATAATTCTTCCTTCATGCATGATTGGCCTTAATATCAAATATCACTTTTATACTTTCATGGCTTCTCCTCATGGTATCAAAGTATACTATCTCTAATGAAATTCATGGTTGATACAACCATCATACACTCGTATTCATAACATCTAAACATACACAATTTATTCATAAATTTGTATATCATGCATACTATACTTATAATCAATAGTAGTTTTATTTAGGCATTATTAACCATTAACAACCCATGCACATCACATTTGTATTCACTTAGGAGATTCCATGAGATTAACCCAAAGATTATAAGCAACATAGTCGGTCATCCTCACCTTAATTAAGCTTAAGCGCGTTCTACGCTTCTCGATTGAACTTTGACTAATTTCGGTGAACTTTGACCAACTCCGGCGAACTTTGACCAACTCCGGTGAACTTTGACCAACTCCGACGAAACTCCGGCGAAGCTCAAAAATACTTTAAATCAAGTTCCTAACAAGGTTTTATCATCACAAAACCCATATCAACACAAATAACCTATAAAAGGTTATTTTCCGGCAAACCGGTCGATTTGGCTTCTAAGTCCGTTCTTGGACATAGAACCACTTTCCAACCCATAAATCCATACTTAGAACATGGAGAACCATCCCAAGGGTTCTTCATATAATAAATATTCCTCATGGTAGAAGAAGAATAAAGGGAAAGCTATGGCAAGGTGATTACCTCAATTTCCACACTTTCCTACACCTTTTTCCTTCTCCAAACACTCCTCTTTGGATCCTCTATCTTGAGCTCGAATTTGGGTGTGAAAATGATGAATTTCAGAGCTCCTCCTTGCTATCCTTGGGTGTTGCTATGAGTGGGTGGAGGTGGTGAGGTGAGAGGGGTGGTTTTTGTCTCATTTAGACAAATGAGTGAAGGGATGGGGTCTACTAAATGTCAAAGGGTGTCTCCCCCATCCTATCAATTGTTGTTTAGCCAACTTAGCACTCATCCAGCCCCCAAGGGTTGACAAATTCATGGGGTGGCCCCCACCCATGTGGGAGGTCATCCTAATTTGTCCCAAAGTGTACAATTTGCCCCGAAAGTTGTATTTTCCGGATTGTTTTAGATATATTTTATTTTATCGGGTTAAATAAATATATTACGTGTTCTTAATCATTATAACATTTAGAATGAATATGCATTCCCCAACTTTAATTTATAAGTCTCCAAAACCCACTTTCGGGCTTTTATCTGATAAATTTATCGATACCGGTATTTGGGCCTCTATTGACCAATCGGTCAACTCTGGGCCTTTCCATGGCCCAAATGAAGTATCCACCATCTATAAATATTTTCTAGACCCAGATGAATATAATATGTGGTCCCGATAATATCGGGCGGTCCCCACTCCCGATGTGGGCCATACGTGCATTTTACTATTCACGCGAAAAAATTAATACAAATTCACAACCTCGTAAATTCACTAAAAATTTCATAGGGTTCAATAAATTATTCGCTTAAAGATAAATATATTTGGGGACGGTGTTACATAACCAATATAGTTCGGCCACATGGCTGATGTACCGAAACAGTCCATAGTGCAGATGCACCATAAAAATTTCCTCAAATCTATTGTTTTATATTGTAAAACTGATTTATAAATCAATAATATTTAGGGTTGAGCTTATCACATACTAGAATGATTCTTTGTTGTAGTATGTGCATTTTTTTTAACTTTGTCGATTTTTTGGACAACCCCAAATATTATATTGCACCATGAAGATTTTTTGATTCTATCTCTACGACTATCCTCTGGAATGAAGCCAGAAGATAAATTTATTAGGGAAAATCGCATATATGGTCTCTCAGTTATCCACGAAATTGAAATTTCAGACCTGTATTTCTGAGATTGTAAATGGTCACCCTCAATTGTCCAAATTGCTGTAAATATGGTCATTTTGAGGGGCGAAATATACAATGTGAGTGAGAGTACATTTCACCACCTAAATGACCACATTTACAACAATTTGGATAATTTAGGAGTGACATTTACAATCTCAAGAATACAGATATGAGATTTTAATTTCGTGGATAACTGAGGGACCATATATGCGATTTTCCCAATTTATTATTCACCCATATCATAGCAGCTCAGGAACCACATCCGTGTAGGAGGAGGTTTGCAGAAAAACTTTACTTGGTATATCAAACTTGAAGATTTTGAAGACACAATCGTATTATTGTATTAGTGTTTCTTTAGTACGTAGTAGTATTTTTCATTGAAAGATACCTAATTTAAGGTCTTGTTTGGTTCAAAGGAGGGGAGGGAAGGGGAGAGTCAAGGAGGGAAGGGAAGGGGAAGGGAAGGAAGGATTTTGATAAAAATTTGTGTTTGGTTGGAGGAAATAGGAGGAAAGGTTTAATGAAAATATTTCCGCAATTTACTTTTATTTGATAGCCTACTTAAAAAACTAGATACATGTCTAACTAGTTTGAATATTACTCCTATGGTCAAGTGTGATGCAAGTTGCATCCACATTAATCCCCACACGTCATGCCGCGACTTCAGAGTTGTAGTCGAAAGCCGTCCCTCAAAACTTAATCATCTCACACGGGTATATATTAAAGAGTATCCTATATACCACATGCTTAATTCTTGAAACAATTTCTTCTTGACTTTTGTTTGCATCATCAAAACGGTTAGCATTCCTAGCATGCCAAATGTGGTAAACTATAGCGCAAAAGGCAGCCCGAACCGAGCTAGCTCAGGATCCATTTATTATGCTCCCCTTCAGCTTTGAACCCTTATGCTCCTTCAAGATCCATTTGACCGAGCTAGACATGGTAGTCATCTGTTGTGTCATTCCTAGCCAATACTTGATTTGCTCCCATATCCTACAAGTGAAAGGGCAGGCAAAGAAAAGGTGTGGCATTGTTTCCAAGTCACCCTTGCAAAGATCACATCTATTCACAATATGCAAGTATTCAAGGTTATCCTGAGTAGGTAACCTATTACGGAAAGCAAGCCACACATTAAAGGAGAACTTGGGAGGAATATAAGATTTCCAAATAAAGCTCATCCATACCCTAACGGTCCCTCTTGTTCTCAATAATTCATAATTTTTGCTTGAAACCAACTTGCCATTAATGGATCTAGAGGCTAAACCCATTATGGTATCATTTTGGTTATTGAAAAGTCCTTTAATTCTGTCCCTTATTGATGCCAAACACTTCATGAAACTCGAGTCCCGACTATGTGGGACAAAGTCCCACACACTTTTACCATTGAGGTAAACGCCGTTAACCCATTTCACCCAAAGGGTGTCCTTTTTTAAACAGACATCCCAAAGTGTTTGGGAAAGAAGGGCTTGATTCCACACTCTAGCATTACGTATGCCCAACCCCCTTCCTCTCTAGGAAGGCATAAATCATCCCATGCCACCTTGGCGTATTTCCCTCCCCAAAGGAAAATTCTACAAATGGAAACGATACGATCCAATATAGTCCGCGGCACGGGAAAGACTTGTAGCCAGAACGATTGGACCCCTTGGATCACCGATCGTATAAGCTCAATCTTCCCGGCATAAGTAATGGATTTCGTATTCCAAGCGTTTAAAAAATCCAGAATCATATCAAGTAGCGGGGAATATTGCGCCACCGAGATCTTAAGTGGGGCAAGGGGGATTCCCAGGTACTTGACCGAAAATTCACCCTGCCCGAAGTCAACAATGTCCAAGATGCTTTGCAAATCAGTCTCATTGACCCCAACAACAAAAATGCTTGACTTGTATTCACCCTTAGGCCCGATGCGTCCCTGAATTCTTGTAGGCCTTTGACAAGAATTTCAATTGAAACTAATACCATTGCATCCATTTGCACTGTTAAAGACTTGAAGTACGAAGTATTATATTCTTTAAGATCTAAAGGAAAACTTTTCTTGATATTACAAATACGTACCTATTTTTAAACATACAGTTCTTGGATACGATCATGGCATTTCAAATCACTTACTTAATCATGACACATTACAGGTTTCACATACTGAAGTAGCTTGGAGTAGCTCGATGAGGGTTCCGTGTGATCTTTGCTCGTATATATACTATATATATACATACATACATACATACATACATACATACATACATACATACATACATATAATCCTATCCTGCAGTATGACAATAAATATATATTATTGGTAATTTCAAGAGTCATTTTGAACATCGATCCCATTTACTATGGAGTATAATTCCCATTTGTAAAAAGTGTGTTTTTGTTGGATTCTAAGAGTCTCCATTATTGTATACAATCGGTAATTCAAAAAGTTACTTTGTATTTATTACGGAATACTACTCAATATACGGATAGCTTTTAGTATTTTGTGCAAGTTGTCTTCTGCAATTAAAGAAGCATTATTTCAAGGGTCTACTATTGGAATTCTAAAATTTACTTCGAGCAGTGCATGTATTTATTACTAATCAATATTAAATGATTTAGTGTTTTAGTATGTTGTGCCGATATTTCACTAATCAATATTTTTCATCATTATTCCACCGTTTTCCTTGAGAACTAATCTAAATTAGACTAAGCCTTTTCACACTTCCCGCCCAAAATCCCGCCTCAGACTTCCCTACACTTTTATGTTTTAATATATATATATATATATATATATATAAATAAATAAATAAATAAATATAGATTCTACTTCTATTTTATAAAAAACAAAACCATAATCAATTTCGAGCCTCTTAAAAGCTTAAAAGATAAACCAATGTAGTCAACGGCTAGGATAGTTAAGATACCAAACCCTAATCTTCATGGCTTCATCATTTTCACGAACAAGGCAAGACAACAACTAAACCGAACGTCTGAAACTCTAAAATCCATCTCTGAATCTCTTGATAGATGCCACACAGTACATTCCACATTGACCCAACCGACCCAGAGTGGTGACTTTTGTTACCCAAACTTCACAATTCTCTCTCTCTCGATCTCTACCTACAGAGATGTCTCTCGACGGAGCTGCAGCGGATCGGGAGAAGGAGCGGCAGGCGGTGGGAGCCGGGAACGGGAGTGGGATAAACGGAAACGGTATCGTTGTTCAGACACACACGGCCCACAGGCTGCGCTTGAACCCGAGTCTGGACCACAAGCCCGACAGCTATGATGACCTGCAATTGGACTTCAGCCCATTGCTGTTTAGCTCTCTGGAGCGCTACCTCCCGCCCAGCGTCCTTCACTCCGTTCGTGACTCCAAGGTTCAGTATATGCGGGAAATTCTCCTCAGGTACTCTCCTGAGGGGGAGCGAACTCGGGTATTTTCTGCATTCTGCAACTTCATACTCTCCCTTTTCTTTTTCTGTATGTGTGGATTTCTCTCACCATATTTTTATTTTTCATCTTTATAATTTACAGTTTCTTCATATTAAAAGGCAGACATTTTTTGAGCCGGTTCTGACATAGTAGGGACTAGGGAGTATTATACACATAACTTTTTTTTCAGCAATCAAACAGAGATTTAACAGTTTCTTAACCTTCATTACTTGTTTAGGATGTGTTTATTTTCGTACGCATGGAATGTGGGTTTATGTGGAAGTGTTGTTTCAGGGTGGTGGAATGGAGACCGAAAGTATTGATTTAAGCGTTTATACAATATACAAAATAAAGGGCAGTGGATGAGATAAAGTGTTTATTCTTCGATAGTTTGAATTTAGTTTGATCTTAACGTAAAGCACCTAAGAAGCTGAAAATTCATCTCGACTGATGGAACATTTGTGCTAATATAGAGACATATAGTGACTTCTGTCTGTTCTACCATTCTCTCAAAAGCAGAGTCTAATCTCTTAATCTCATTATTCATAAGGTTTTGTAGATTAGTAGGATATTTATTTCGCAGAGGAGTTGTGCCATATACAAATCATTTTTGTGTATAGATTGAGAGAGGGATTTTCTTTTACAGAGGATTTAGTTTCATATGAATATGGGTGTGAAGATGCATAGTTGTAATGCATGCTTTCCGGTGTTTGGCGTGCTTAATAAGATTCTGGGCTTGTGTAAGAGAGGTGTGTTCTTGTGTGAACCTGTGAATTTTTAAGGGATTTGATTTGTAATAGTGAAAGGCAGAATGAAGAGAGTGCGTTTAAAAATTTCCAGTTCCATTTCAACGGTTTTTATTTGATTTACAGAAAGTGGAAACTACCATACATGTTTGCTTGACAGTTGGATAATAAAAATAGTCACTGTGATATGTGATTGCACCCAGATTCTGAGCGCAGTACTTTTAAGTTCTTATTGGGATTATAAATAGTCCTGGACGTGGCCATACACATTACGGAATAGTGGAATACCAAATAAACGTAATACCATCTCTGTCCTAAATTTATGGTGACACTTTGTTTGGGCTCATAAATTAAGAAAATGGTATAAAACTATAAAATACCTCAAGTATCATTTACTTTTACTGTAGCAGTGAAAATGTAAGTAATGTTGGAATGACAAAGTTGTAGATTTAAGTAAAAGGATGGATAAAGTATGAATAGGACATATACCTTTATTTTAGGACAGCTCAAAAAGGAAATACGAGACTATTAGTTTGGAATGGAGGAACTACCTTAAAAAATTATTAGTGTGTTTTTGTGTGAAGTATAAGTTGGTTCGAGGTAAAACGTATGACACGATTGATGATTCAGATACAACATGGTATTGCAATTTTATTTTAGGATATCTGAAATTCACAGGTGAGGATAGTTTATGGAGTTCTGTAGAAATTTCTGTTTTCCTTCTTTTATAGTAGAATTCTTTTATGAGAATTTCTTTTTGTGTTATTTCTCCGAAAAGTTCTTACTATCTTAAAACATATTCACAGGTGCAAAAGCACAGAGAGTACAGGCAGAAGATCATATCTAACTATCAGGTATAGAGTGCGATATACACTTCTTTCTTCCTGGTACTCCTAATTATTAATTTTCAGTACATAACAAAAAAATACTTTGCGACATGAAGGGAACTGTAACTTTTCATGGTAAACATTGATGAGGTTATAGTGTCTTCACTGAACTGTGTTCCATAGTATTTACAATTTTACATAAATGTATAAATAACAAATAAAGGGCTTTACTAAATTGTTCCACAATTAGTATTGTAACACTGCATAGCTGCCTATCATAAATTTAGTATTGTTATTGTAGTGATAACTATTGATAATTTGATCTTACAGCTGCTAGAGATAACTACCTATAAACCACCATAACTACAAAAACTATAAACTAATTATGTGGATAGTCGAGAGTTTCTTCCTTTTTACTGTAATTGTTTTCTCCCTTACAGCCACTACACAATGAGCTGTATACGATGCATGCTGAAAATTTCTTTCACCCCTCATTTACAAGGGCGATTAGTGAAAATTCCGAAGAAAGTTTCCTGAATATAATGGCACAACCTTCTCCTGGAGTTTTTACCTTTGAAATGCTTCAGCCTCGTTTCTGTAATATGCTTTTGGCCGAGGTATAATTTTCCCTTTTTGGTGGTTTCATCTTTCTGGAACGCTCCTTTGGGGTTTCACTTTGCAGTTTAGCTTTTCTATTCTTATCAGGTTGTGATTGCTTAGGTAGAAAATTTTGAAAAGTGGGTCCACGAAACGAAATTCAGAATTATGAGGCCAAATACAATGAACAAGTTCGGTGCCGTTCTTGATGACTTTGGCATGGAAAACATGCTTGACAAGCTCATGGAGGATTTCATTCGCCCTATTTCCAGAGGTAATAGTTTCTACTACCTCTGTCCCAAATTGATTTCCAAAGTCAACCTTTTTTTGTCAAACAATTTCATTGTATTCACTTAATTATGATGTCAATTTTTAACTATATGCTAAATTGGGGTTTGCTACTTTAAAGAGATTTTAATGTAGTTTTTTAAAATTTAAATTTTTAAGGATGTTTTTACTTGGACCGAAGTTTGCTCGTCTGGCCTGGTCTGTTTAAGTCTGGATGGGTCTGAACTGGTCTGGTCTGTTATGTTTAAGTTTGGACTGATCTGAACTGGTCTGGTATTTTATAACTATGGAAGTCTGGTCTGGTCTGGTAAACGTCTTGTCTCTGTGTATTTTTAACTATGAAAACAGTCCAAGTAAAAACATCCTAATTATTAAAAATTTTAAGTTATCTAAAACTGTTAGACTTTGGAAATCAATTTGGGACGAAAAGAGTATTTACCTACAACATGGAGGGTAAAATGCGGAAGAAGAGGGATATGGTTGTAGTGAATTTCATGACCTTTGGTTTTGACCTGGTTTTATTTTTTGTGCAGTTTTCTTTTCAGAGGTTGGTGGGTCCACACTTGATACCCACCATGGTTTCGTGGTTGAGTATGGAATAGACAGAGATGTTGACCTCGGTGAGATGCTGGTATCCATTATATTTGATAAGCTTATATAGTTAGGAAAAGTACAAAAATTGTACTTGTGGTTGGGCACGTTTTGAGATAGCGGTTTGTATTTCTTTATGAACAAAGTAGTCCCCGTGTTTTGATTCCATTATCTGGAGGGGTCCGGTGCCTAATGCCGTTAGAAATCCCCGGATGAAGGCGATGAATAGTAACTCCGATTTTTAAAAGTGTCTGGAAAATTCAAACAAAAATACCGGGAGGTGCGTCTTGTCAATGAGATCTTCAATCTTTTTTCCTTTTTGGATTTTTCGGCTTTTTTGGGTTATTTTCAACAAAATATTTCATCAATATCACTCTTATGGTGGACTTTCCGCTGATAAGGGTGGCTGGAAACAAAAGAGAAAAAGAGTCTGGAGGTCTCCTTGACGAGGCACACCTTCTGGTATTTTCTTCTAATTTTCCGGGCACTTTTGAAAATCAGAGTTACGACCCGGAGCAGGAAATTGATGTTTCCTTGCTTCCGACACGCTTCCGGGTTTCTGAAATGGGGAAATGTGCTGGAAGTTTCTGTGCTTCATAGCTGTCAAGTCCTGTGCTGTCAAAGTTTGTCCTTGAGCATTTGTTCGGTTTAGCCGTTTAGGGAAGAAATGAAAAATAGAAGACTGTGTGAGGAGAAAGGGGAGGAGAAATAGGGTAGATTTAGTGTTGTTTGCTGGAAGAGGAAAAGGGGTAAATATTGAGATGGAATGCACTTGGCTCATATTTCTCAGGTGAAGAAATAAAATTGGTGGAATCATTTCTCTACTTTTCATATTTCTCCCCCCTTCTGTGCATCCTAATTCTTCCCAACCAAACTAGTTTTAAAGAAACCTTTTCATTGCCGGACACCATATTGTTCTGGCTGTTAGACCCAAGGTCATAAATATTATCAATACCTAATAAAATGTCCATTTGCGTTTTGGAGGTTTAAAATTTCTTTTTGAAAGGTATCTATTACTTTAATGATTTTATCATCTTCATTATTTACTTTTAAGTACAAAAAATGAATGCTTTCAAGCATGCATTTTAAAAGTTTGCTCCCAGTGAATTCCTATGACATTTGAACCTGTTATTGGTTTGAGTACCATGTTACTATATATATGTGTGTGTATATATGTGTGTGTATATATATATATATGTATATGTATATATATATATATATGGTTAGAGGGTGTAAACTTTTTCACCTTTTACCTTTTAGGTTTCCATGTGGATGATTCAGAAGTCACATTGAATGTGTGTTTGGGTAAGCAATTTTCGGGTGGAGAACTGTTCTTTCGCGGTGTGCGGTGTGAGAAACATGTAAATACAGAAACACAACCAGAGGCAAGACTTTTTAATACTTTTGCCTGCAGTCAACTGATTATCTCGTCAGAATCTTTTACTTCGTATATAATAATCAGTGTAATTCTATTCAACTAATTTTATGGAGGTATTTCATAGTAATGGTTATAGAATATTGATTGAGCAGTCAGTGTTTTACTACTTCCATTGTTCCAGATTTTCACCCACTACACAAGAAGGCTAGCTTAACACTCCGTAAATTAAAATCTATTTTGTAATACATCGAGACACTAAACATAGTAAATTTTTAAAGGGATGATGTGGTGGCATTATTATGTATATACAAAAGAGTGAGCTACACAGGAGTATATTACTATATTTACAATATGGGCTACTGGAGCTGATATGGGAGACTACACTTCAACTTTGGTGTGTGTCTGTTTTGGGGTGGTGTGGGGGCATGATGGTGAAGTTCGTCATGAGATTGTGAATAGAAAGGATTAAGGATGAAGCTGCGGCGGACTCATATAGGGTCTAGGGGTCTTGGCCCCATCCCCAGATTTAAAACTGTTAAACGGAATGCCTTTTTTGCCCATGTTTTAGTTCATACAAAATAGACTTTCATGATTTAATTTGGACGGCAGTCCTGAGCGAAATTGATTGGCCTGCATTGCCCATCTTTCAGCAACAGTGGAATTTATTAAAGGATGAGGAGTCTCTAAGGATTATTTTAATGTGAGATCTATAATTCATTCAGTGTAACTTATTTCACATTGTAACCAGTTAACCACATTATGGAACCTCTATCCAGAGTGTGGTGTGACTTGCATTGATTTTTTTAATTAAAGTTGTGTATGATAATCATTTCAAAGTATCTGACACAGAATTCCTGATCTCTGCATGAGAATGATTTCAAAATATCTGACATGGAATTCCCAATCATGTTCATTTTTCTAAAATCTGGTGAGATTTCTCCAGAAATTCTCAACTCATCTGAAATTTGTGATTATATTTCACAGGAGACCTTTGACTATTCCCATGTTCCTGGACGAGCAGTTCTTCATCGTGGTCGGCATCGGCATGGTGCTAGAGCCACAACAGCCGGCCAGAGAGTCAACTTATTACTCTGGTGCAGGAGGTACTTTTAGGTCCTTGTTTGGTTGAAGGATTTAGTAGGGGAGGGAACTGGAGGAATGATGTTTATTTTTTTGATTTATTACTTCATTTAGAGGATTAGGAAAAGGTGATAACAAAACAAAATGTTATAAAGAACCAATTATATTGTTAATTTGTATTCTAAGACGTATAAATATAGATAAATTAATAGAACAAAAAATCAACCCCCTCCCTCCAAAGTATCCTAACCTAAAATAACCTTAGTGACATGCCTTTCTCATCTTAGGAATTATGTTGATTTGTTCAGATCTGATGAATAGTTGTGAGCCCAATAATTTCAGCCTTAGTAGTAACTTTTGCACAGCTTTTTTCATTTGATGAACTGATTCAGCCTTTAGAAATGCCTACCAAACGGGCACTGAAGTTATCCGAACGAGAGAGTTGTAGCTGATGCATAACTTATCATTAAGATATTGTATTTCAAATCTTTTGTTTCTATCACAGCTCTGTTTTTAGAGAGTTGAGGAAGTACCAGAAAGATTTTTCTAGCTGGTGTTCTGAGTGCCAGCGTGAAAAGAAAGAAAGGCAACAACAGTCTGTAACTGCGATTAAATTGGTAATGCATAAGGAGTTCCTCTTTTGTTTGTAAACACATAAAAACATAAAATTGTTAAATGTATTTGTGCCATTTTTTACCAGGAACTACTGAGAAGAGAAGGGGAGGCTGCTTTATAGTTGATTTGTGGGGCCTCTGCTCTATTTATCGTGTTGTTTTAAAGTCTTCTGTAATATAGGGCCAACCCTATTAATCAGGGCATTTGCAGCATTCTCAGTGGTGGTACTGGGGATGCAGCACATATATTTGTAGCTGTACATTACATGAATACCAGGGCATATGCAGCATTCTCAGTGGTGGTACTGGGGATGGCAGCATATATATTTTCAGCTGTACATTACATGAATTAGTGATTATGTCCAGTTTGCTAACACTTGAAATTGAATAACAACTTGCCATTTTTCATGGTATGATTTTGATGGATGACTAATTTCTGATCTCAAGAAATGTGCTGAGGTTTCCATTAACTGATACTGAATATCATTTCGGGTTTCAATTTATTTATGTTATTTTTAGTTTCAGTTTATACTTTCCAGTGGCTCTCAAAACTTTAACCTCTGCAGAGTTTTTGTTAATATTCAAGAGGATTTTTCTTACCCTTCGCATTGATATTGTAGATATCAAATTACCCTTCAGTGTTACAATTTGAATGGAAAATGAGGCATGAAATTGTAGTTCTGAGCAATTAGAATATGCGCATCAACTCCCGGGTCCTGGGCAATTATAGCCTTATAGGTTGAAAATTAACCAAACCCTTTGTAACTTGTTTAAAGCTACTGTTGCATTAAATAAGAAGTAAATTAATTTCCAGTTTGAAATACGCACATTAGCTCCTGAGCAATTTAGTTAGTAACCTTACCAGCTAGTTCGATTAAAGAATAGTAATAATATTCTTTCAAAAAAAAAACGGTAATAATACAACTTTGATGAGCAGCTCATTGGTTTGTCTTGGCTTAAACAAGGTATTAAAGCTTAAAGTATTTTCACTATGGACTGATTAGGCTACTTATGCTGTTATGCATAAGGTAAGCATATGATGTTTCGTTTAGCGAGTACAAAAATAACATGAGTAGAAGTTTGTAACAACTAAGAATTACTTAATAAGAGTATCCACGGCTCCATAAACCATAATCCAGCAAACCACACATCATATATCTTCAAACTAAACATGCTTACATATACCATTTTATGTTGCTATCTGTAAACAGAGTCACAAACTGTTTCTCTTGGGGCTAGGGCACTTATAAGTAATCATCTTACCTTTTTATGTAACCTAACATCATATCGCTTTCCACTTTATTTAAAAACCTCTGACCAATATAATGCTTCTACATCTCTAAGGATTATTGTTGTTTTGTTGCTATTATTATCATTATAATTGGTGCTATTATCAATGTCTGGTGATATTAGTTTCAAACATATGAGTGGACTGGAAAAAATTAGTTGAGGAGAGGATTGATGAGAGACGACCTGGAGTTGATGATGAGTGACCTGAAGAGTTTCTCCTGGTCAGTGAGGGAGTGGCGGAAGTGGCAGCGGTGGCCGTATGGGCAACTGTCACCGTTGAACACCATTCGGCAAATCTCTGTCTTGTAGCGTGGGTGACGGAGGACTGGGCGGAGCTCCTCCAGACCGTGTGCAAACTGGCAGTTGTCACCATAGGGGCACGCTCCTGTTTCTTGCCATTTGTTGCATAGCTCTGTCTTGAACATGCCCTGGTTGTACACTTCCAACTCCACTGGCTGCTCTTCCTTCTCCCCACCCTTCAGATACACTCTTTGCTACAATAATGCATCACCAACCCATTACCATCATTAGTAGTGCTCGTATCATCAAACCAGATAGATGCTATATTTTAATCATCAACATTGTCCTCCATCTTTAATTGATTTTAGGGAATCGACCCACATTTCCTATATACTCCGTATGTTGTAATGTAATCTGTGCATCCATCTGCCAAGAATATAATAACTATCCATCCATATAGCAAAATCTTATTCTATTACGGAGTAATTCGTACTCTATTTCATCTTTTTTTACACAGAAATGCTGTGACAATGTGATTATAACTCATTTACTAATTAAAGAGTATGGAGCACAATATAAATTATACGAGTACTACGTACGTAGTATGATTCATTCATTTAAAAAGAAGTTGGAAGCAAATTAATCTGGGACACAAAAAGAGGCAGAAGTCTATTGGGATTCGGGAAAGAGGGAATATAAAGTTACACAAGCTATACCTTTGGCCTTTGGGGGAAAATGTCATATTTTCCATGTCACTTGTTATTTTTATACTTTCTAGCACTGGTGACATATTGACATATACTAGTATTTTAAACAATTTTTTATTCCCCCTTTTTTTGGTGTGCTCACATATCTATTATAATATCTATTAGTTTTAGTTAAATGCCAAATTTCGTGAATTGGGATGAGTTTTGTTTGACCTTGTGATTTCATCCTTTGGAGCGTCATAGTGATGTCATCAAACTACAAGATGATTGACAAACATTTCGTTCTTCTTTAATAATATAGTTTAATTTGACTATTTTTATGAATGTATTACGAAGTGTTTGTTAAATTTGTTTTAATGCTCATTCTGAAAACATTAGGGTCTTTTTACTAACAGAGATGTTTTCCTGTTTTGTACTTCTGTTTTTCGTTCTACAATTTTCTGTTTTTATTTTTCAATTTTTCTATCTCCAGTTTTCTGTTTCTATTTTCTAGTTTTCCATTTTCAAATCTGAAAACATGTTCATCAATTTTTTCACTCCGTTTTGTGATCATCCAGAAGACTGACACGTTTACTTCACATGTTACTAAATGGTGCTTATTAAGACTCGCGTTAATAAGCGACACATAGAATACACAATGTTATAAGATCATGTTTATTTCAAAAGGTTTAAAACACCGTTTAACATTAAAATGTTCAAAACAAACCTATACATATATAGACACACAAACATTCATGAATACAAATATATAATATAATATGTGGGGTCGATCACCTCGTACGTCTACCCATACTCCTAACCCCTACCCTGCCCCTATACCTCGTACCCCCACCCTACACCCTAACCCAATTCCACACCCTTGACCCCTACCCCTACCCTTACCACGATCTTACACTTTACCCATACTCCCCTAAAACCCTTCATACCCACCCATACCTACTCGTAGGGGTCGGGGTAGGGAAGGAAGGTATGGGGGTGGGTGGGGTAAGGGGTATGGTCGGGGGTGGTAAGGTCTAGGGGTACGGGGTTGGGTGGGTTAGGGGTAAGGTTGGGGGTAGTGAGTAGGGTTGGGGTAAGGTAGGGTAGGGAGTTGGGATAGGATGGCGATAGGGTGGAGTCAGGATCAGGGTGGGGCCGAGGTAGGGGAAGGGGTGGGCGGGGGTAGGATGGCAGTAGGGTGGGGGTAGGATGGCGGTAGGGTGGGGCCGAGGTAAGGGGCATATGGGAAGGGGTAAGGGGTTATATACGAGGTGGGGTAGGGTAGGGTGGGTCGGGGTGCGGTTGAGGTGGTAGGGGGTGGCGGTAGGGTAGGGTGGATCGGGATGGGACCGAGGTAGGGGCATGTGGTAGGGGGTGGGGGTAGGGTCATTGTAGGGAAAAAGGGTATGCAGGGTGGGGGTGGGTACGGTAGGGTAGGGGTAAGGGGTAAGGTACGAGGATGGAGGTACTAGAATAGAATCGACATTGGAGCGAGATCGGACCCACCACTAGGTGTAAGTATGCAAATTCATTGCAGCGGCTTGTAGCATCTGCGTTTTCCAAATTTGGAAAACTAGTAAAAGTCACTTCTCCAAATCATTAAGAAAATATATAAGAGACATGTCTTATTTTTTCGTTTTGGAAAACGGTTTGGTAAACGCGTTTTTCTGTTTTCCTTTCTCCAGTTTTCCAGCAATTTTCTTTGTTAAACACGTTTCCAGTTTTCTTGTTTTCCAGTTTTCTGGAAAACTGTTAAATATCTCTGTTAGTAAACATGCCCTTAATGTTTTACTTCCTCCATAGTTTTTTTTGTTTTTTTTGGGGGGTGGGGGGGGGGGGGGGGGGGGTGGGGGTTGGGGAGTTGGGGGGTCCCAGGGGGAGGGAATACAAGAGCTCTAACTGCTCATGACGGGAATTGAACTCCTGACCTACAGGATAACCGGGTGACTCTACAACCAATTAAGCTAGTTGCTTCGTCACTTACTCTATATTTATTTAGTGAAAACTGACAAATTCACCGTGAAAGAATATGTACAACAATTAGTGTACAAAAAGTGTAAAAGTAAAAAGAAAAGATGAAAATGTACGAAAGAAAAATAAAAAAGTTTTAAAGCAAACCATGGATTAATTAGAGAGTATTTACTATTTAGTGTAAATAGAAACTTACCAAAATAGGAAAATATTAAATATAATGAAATACTCTGTAGTTAAGATGGATATTATAATTTTTGTACTAGTACGTAATTAATTGCATTAACAGTCAAGGTCGTGTTAAAGTCAAGCCATGGATTTAAACTAAAAAAAGAATAGAAGTTAATACTAGTATGTATTAACCTATGACCTATGCATAATTCATAGGGAAAGATCCCGAAATAGGACTAAAATAGTTTGAAATTCCAAAATAAGACTGTCATGTTTTTTATTCTCAAAATAGGACTAATCACTGCCATGTTTAGAAAATACTGTCATGTTTGAAGTCTGGTACTGCCAAAACATGGCATTAATTAGTCCTATTTTGGGAATAAAAACATGTCAATCTTATTTTGGAATTTTTGAACTGTTTTAGTCATATTTCGAGTAATATTCTCTGATTCATAAACTTGAAGTATCACTAATTAAAAATATGAGCATAACACATGGATAAAAGCAGAAAGCTATTCTTTATCTCCTACCTCGTTTGAGACAAAGATAGGTGGCACACAAATATATAGCAAAATATGATAAAAGCATGACATAAAAATAAAACACATAATGTTTTACGAAGTATTTGAAAAAGAAATTACCGCCAACTGGGGGGTTTTGGATCGACTCTGATCAGCCCTGCTTGTACCTGCTGGAGCCGTCTTCGTATAGCCACTAGAGCGAACAGAGATACTCTTGGGAAGTAGGACCCGGTGCACATCTTTTCTCTCAATCCCACCCGAATCCATCACGCTGGTTGGGCTCTCGTGACAGTCTCCGGACGGCTCCGCGCTCAATTCCTCCCACGGTTGTCCCTCGCCGGTTGAAGCATTTCCTCCAACAGGGACGCTCCTCCTCCTAATTGCGTATTTGCACGGAGCTCCCGACCTAGCAGCGTAATCGGACGACGCGTTGAGCAGTGAAGTTAGGCGGCTGTTCAATTCGAGGTTCGCCATCTTCAGATTGACGTTCTCCTGCCGGAGCGCTTGGGCTTGTTTCGCCACCTCTCGGAGGTGAGCGAGCACAGCGCTGTGGCGGGCCACGAGATCCTGGTGGTACTGCTGATCGAGAAGGAGCTGAGAGTGAGGAATGCGCGAGGGAAACGGAATTTCTCCACCACCTGAAGAATCTCCGTGGAGAGGCGGCGAATTCGGAGGAATCGTGATAGCATTGTAGAGCGAGCTTAAATCGAACGAGCCGCTGGAAGCTTGGCTGTGAAACGGCGGCGGAGACAGAGAATCGTACTCCATTGCTCCTCCGAAGCCGGAGATTAACACGAGTCTCTGTTTCTATATGCAAGTATATCCGATCCGTATCTAGACATCTTCTATCATTGCTGCAAACACGTCAATGGAGGTCACACAAACATGACCATTTCAAATCACGAACGTGCATCATGATTCATGAACACCAAAATATTTAAGGAAAAATCAAAATGATGAACTATTTTCAAAAGAGAAAATTGCACCTGATGAAAAACAAGCACACGATATTCGAACCGGTTGATTGTTCCGCAATCCTTCAAAGCGCGGATTTAGGCTTCTAGAGTGTGAAGGAACACTGTAGAGAGAGAAACTGGACCTGAGGAAATGGGGAAGAGCGGAGAGAGTTTATGGAGAGTCTTAACGCAAGTGATATAGACGTGGTCGAGGAAGGAGCCAATGTAGAAGACAATGAGGAAAGGGCAATTTGGGAAATGGGGGTGAAGCCGGGAAACTATCAGTGTATAATTCCCCACCTTGACTTCAGTAATTCGGATGCCCTTCGGGTGCTACACTAGTTACCCAAACCGAATAAAATCTAAACTGAACCATATCCAATTCAATTTAGATTTAATAACATTTCTTTTAAATCATATTAAATAGAACTTCAAGAAAATTCCAATAAAACTATTAGCTTTGTTCCTTAGAACTTTGACAAGTTTAACCAGCACTAAAAATAATAAAGTAAAAATTGTGTGATTGAGTTTTGTGCAGATCAAAGATAAATAACAAAAGCCACAAAATAACTGATTAAAAGAGAAAGTGACAGAGTTTTTTGGAACGTCGCAAAAAAGAAAGATGATAAAGTTTTAAGGGACGAAGAGAGTATTAAAATTTTCAATAAAATCTTAAAAAATTGCCATAAATAGGATTCAAACATTATTAAAGTTCCTAAATAGACGTTGGTCTGTTGATCCCGAGCTTACGCCCGCCTATCTGCTAAGGCCCACCTAAGATCTCTTTATCAGAGGCTCCTCAGTTTATTAAAGAGTATATTTTCTAATTAAGACTCCAGATTATACTTTTACTCTTCATACAGTTAATTTCTCAGGATCGTTCATGGCCCTCATATGCGAGCGTGAGAATCTGCTATTCCTGTCGCCTCAACTCGCGGTTTCTCCGTCTTCTTGGGATGCAACCCATTCGCCATCAATCGCAACCGCCCTTTCGATCGAAACCAGCCACACTGATTTCTATGGCAATGATAGGTAATTTCTTCAGCCCCCTCTTCCTCAATTCACGGTCCTCTATTTTCTTTTCTTTGGATTTGAATTTTATTTATTTATCTATAAATTTTGATTAATCTGGAATCTGAGAATGACATAAAATTACTAGTAATTTGAAAAATGTCATTTTTATGACATTACATCTATCACGATGACAATATTACTTTGAAATTACATAACTTTAAAATGCCATATTTTTTCCCGTTTGACGAAATAATACCAGTTCTATGTCACTAACTTTATAAAGATGACATTTTTTACTGAATTTTCATTTTCTTTTTCTTCCTGTGTCTTGATTTTTTTATATAAATCACCATTATTTTATTTTAATAATGTCACAATTCTTACAAAAAAGCCACAAATTTAATCTGAAAAACTCTTTTTATCTAAAAATGTCATGATTTATATAAGAAAATGTCATTATTGTGAAATTCCTAACAAAATGGCAATCTCTCCGAAGATAGGAAAGGGACTCGCCACAGTGGTTGCATCGGCTTAGGGGTGGGTGATGGTGGCGGTGTGACCAAAAGATGGTGACTGTCGTGGTTTGCGGGAGGATATATCATACTACCTCCGTCCCTTCAAGTTTGTCACACTTTTCCGAAACGGATATCCCAAAACGTGTCTTACTTTTTCAACTTCCTTATTTGGTAAACAAATCTACACCAAACAATGTGAAACAGTGCAAAACAGTGTGAAACAGTGTTGCTACAGTGTAAAATCAAATTCATCTACTTAAACTTGTGAAGTTAAACTACGACAAACTTTGAGGGACGTAGGAAGTATATGGTTGCGGCACAATTGCTTGAGGATGGCTGCGGCACACACCATCGCTCATGCTACGATCAACAAATATAGCCAAGGAGTTTACATTAAGGGTAATTTTTCCAGGTGGCTATGTTCTTAGTCCTACAAAATACACAAGTCCTAGTTTTGCACTTCTTCATTGTTTTAGATCTATTTAGAGAGTCTTAAAGATTAATAAGAATATCAGATTCAAACCATCGCTCATGCTACGAAATATAGTACTCCTCCATCCCAATGATATATCTTAATACAAAATTATTTAAAATATGATAATTATATGAGCATATACTTTATTAAAAAATCTTTCATAAAAGTATAAAACTTATAAATTTCACACAAATATAATACCTAAAATAATTGTCTAAACTTTAACATCATTAACAAAAAAAAGTCAAATTGACCAATCATTTTGGAACGGATGGAGTATGATTCTTGTTTGGTAATCGTTCTTCAAATTGGTTTCAAACCAAACCAAACCAATAAAAACTTAGAATCAGACTTGGAGTACACACTTTTTGTACACACTCTTACACACTCATGTCTGTGAGGCGTTTTTTTCTGTTCCAGACAAAATGTATTCGTCAAATACATTTTGTCTGGGACAAACAAAAAAATGTCTTCACAAATATCAGTGTTTAAGAGTGAATACCAATAGTGTGTACCAATAGATTTTTTACTCAAAAACTTAACCGATATTCTCACCTGGCCCCCCTCACTTCAGAGTGTAGCTTACGGGAGTATTTATGAAACTTTAGCTATGTTACACGGGAAGACAATTTCTTTTTCAGCCTTATTTTATTGGGCCGAAATGGCATTACTGTAAATCTTAAATCAACTTTTTGATTAACTGGATTTCTCGGCCCAAACTTTTTGATGAAATACTTCTATTTTTAGGAATTGATTTAAACATATTTATAAAGAGAAAATTCTCTAAATAAGATTAAGACATATCATGATTTATCAAATAGGAGGGTCATTGGAACCAGACAATAATTTGAGGGGGTGCTCTTATATTTTTTTTTGAAAAACAATTTTTTATTAGGATAAAATAAAAATGAGTGAAAAATACTTAACTATTAGATACATATAGAGTAAGGTTCCAATAAAAAGCCCGTGAAAAATGAGAACGGGCGCACTTTTTACTCGTTTTGGTACACTAGTAGATATTTATTTTACACTTTTTCGCAATGAGAGAAAATTTTGTTTTATTTATCAAATTTTCACCAAGATTTTGATAAAATATAGTGCATTGTTGGCTGATTTTGAGTCATCGGATCTCAAGTTAAATGCACAAGCTTTATTTTCGATCAATTTTCATGATAAGAACTCTTTTTATTTGATCGAAAACTTATACTCCATATATATGAATATGTAGTGTGTTTGAAATAAAAATGCTTAAAAATGCACAAGATGTATTAACTTAAAGTAGTTTTAGATGATAAAAAAAACTTAAAGTAGTTTTAGAATTATTCTTGACATTAAATTAAATGACAACGTCTGTATATGTCATTATTAGAAGAAGAAATGATAAAAAAATTGAATTGAAGAAATGAGAATCTAAAATAAAAGATATAGAATTTCAAAAAGTGTGATTTAATTGAACATAAATAATTATCATATGGGCTAAAGTTTAAAGAAGCAAAAAAATATTGCGGCTCCTGAGAATTGGACCCGGGCCATTTTGGAAGTCAAAGCTCTCTCAACCTCCACCCTACCATTTGAACTATCACAACTCATTCATACAAACGACTGACTGTGCTTTAATATATAAATACTTTCTGAATCAGGGCTGAGATATACACATATATTATATATACATACAGAACCGCCGCCGGAGAAGGGGGAGCGCCGGCACCGGCTCGCCCCCTAGTTCCGCCACTGAATTTGTTCTCTTCCTCAAATATGACTCTCCACTCCTATTTTGGAATTTTTTATTGTTTTATTCTTTTAATAGGACTAAATAAGTCATATTTGGAGAATAAAACATACTTACTCCTATTTTTGTAAATTGTCCATCTTTTAGTCTTATTATGATTGCTTTCTTAATTGTAAAACCAATGATTTTAATCTTTTTACTTGAATTAATTAAAAAGACTTTGTTCTTAAAAGTGTGCTCAAACCTTTTAAGTTATGTAAGCACTACATACGAACTTCAAAATGCGTTTAACTTTTATTACAAAAAACACATTTTCATAGAACACTTTAATTTTTATCTTTTCAAAATCACTTTTCTTTTCAAATAATACCGACTTATACTCGGTGGCGGAGCCAGAAATCTATGGTTAAAGGGGCCGGTCCTTAAAAAATTTACATTGCAGGGGCCAAAGTTTAAAATATCAACATATTTTCTATAGATTAAAAGTATTTATACATTATATATATATATATATATATATATATATATATGCACACACTTAAGATATATTTTATTGCAGGGGTCGAGGCCCCCTCCAACCCCTCCATGTCTCCACCCCTGCTTATACTACCACGTATTAAACAGTTTTAATTAAATCTTACAAATAAACACAAACACCCCTTTATTTCAATGATCACATCAAAAGTGTGTAGTTGTAAAAGTTGGAAGTTTTGATAACAAACGACTTAAAAAAAGACAAATATAGAGTCAATCTTTATCATAACCAAATGCCTTATATGTATCACAAATCTTACCAATCGCACACTCCAATTAGCTTGATTGCGTGCATACCAATATGCAAGAGGGCCAAAAGACTTATTCTTCAAGAGTTGGATGTTAGTTATAAAGCAGAGTTTGGTTACCTGGAGGCATATGCTGCTTGTATAAAGAGAAGCAATCCTGGATCAAAAGCTGAAATTGAACTGTGCAGTCAATCCTTGAAAGATTGGAGGAGAGTCTTCAAAAGAATGTTTATTTTCTTTGATGCTTTGAGGAGAAACTGGATGGGTGGTTGTAGAAGAATAATTGGGGTTGATGGTTGCTTTTTAAAGGGAGTTTGTAGGGGAAACTTGCTTAGTGCAATAGGTGTGGACGGAGATGGGAAAATGGTTCCAATTGCTTGGGTTGTAATAGGCAAAGAAAACAAGTCTAACTGGAGATGGTTTCTCACTTGGATAGTTTAGGAACTAGAGTTTCACACTGGTGTTGAGTTAACCCTTATATCTGACATGCAGAAGGGTTTAATAATTGCTGCTCAAGAGATTATACCGGATGCATAGCACATGTATTGTGCTAGACATGTTTATGCTAACTGGTCCAAGAAATGGAGAGGAGATCAATTCTGTAAGAGATTCTGGATTTGTGCATGGAGCACATATGAAGAAGAGTTGGAAATGAATTTGAAAAAATTCAGAAAGCTTAGCCAAGAAGCAACCTCTTATGTGTTGAAGTATCCAATCCAAACATGGTGTCGTGCATATTTTAGTAACAAAAGTCAGTGTTGGATGGTTGATAATAATATAACTGAGTCATTCAACTCATGGATCCGGGAAGTAAGAAGAAAACCAATTGTTAGCATGCTAGAAGACATCAGGTTGAGGCAATGAAGATGATTTCTGAGTTTCAGGACATTCCAGAGAAATAAATAAATGAATGGTCTCCTACATGCATGGAATACTATCAAGACAATAAGGAGGCTGCAACAGGTTGTACTATAATATTCAATGGTGATATGATGGGGTTTGAGATAGGTGAGGGAGCTGACAAACACTCAGTTGTTTTGGATAAGATGGTATGTACTTGCAGGGCAAGAGAACTTACAGGAATACCATGTTTACATGCCATATGTGCTTTGTACCATAAGAAGTTAGATCCTATGTCTTTCATTTCAAAGTGGTATCACAGATCAACATACAAGGCAGCATATCAGAACTATTTACAACCACTTCCTGGTAAAGTTTTCATGAAAGTTGAGGACTATGAAGCAATTGAACCTCCCCCAGTTCCAAATTTACCAGGAAGACCTAAAAAAAATAGGGTAAGGTCATCTTCTGAGGGCAAACCATCATCAGGTACTTCAAACCAACAACCTGCCACAGCTCAAAAAGCTTCAAAAAAAGGCCAAGTGCAAACTTGTGGGATCTGTCATCAAGAGGGTCATAAAAGGTCTAAATGTCCAAACCAAGCCACTTCTGTAAGTGTTATATGTTCTTATAAAATTACTTATGCTCAGTTCTATTGTAAGATTGTTGTTGTTATGAATTTACTTATATGTTTAATGTATTAGGCAAATGAAGAGCCCAATGCAAATCAAGGTGTGAAGAGAACTGCTGCTGAGGCTTTGACCCCGGCAGTTTCACCACCCCCACCACCAGGAAGGGAAAAATCAACAACCACTATCACCAGGCCCTCAAAATTGAAATCAAGAAGAATAGTTAGAAACAAAAGCCTTGACACTTTAACTGGTGTTGGTTGCTATGTTGATGTTAATACTGGGGCAAAGACTTTAAATGTGAGTATTTCTTAAGGAATAGAAAAGTAAAGTATTTTCTTGGTTGTGAATATAAGAGCTGGATGTTGTAAAATCAGATTGATTAGGTTTGTTGTTCTTATACCTCTTGGTTTTGCAGCCTGGGATGAGGAGTGAACATGTTGTTTCTGAGGTGCAAGCTGACATGCCACATGATCCTGATGTTACAGTTAGATATGCTATTCCTAATGAGAAGGAAATAAGAGCTGCTGTCGGAATCAGAAATCTGTCAATGAGACAAGATACAGAGATATAGCATTTAAGGGTGATGGAGCACATATACAACAGCCCACCAACCTACCTTTCAAAGCCCCTGATTTGCAATGGAAGGGTAGCCCTGCTGTCACATCCGGCCAATTAAGAAAGAAGGTGCAAAAGAGGAGGGAACCTAGCACTGGGACCGATGATAGTCAACAAAGAAATTAATTAGCATGTATAAGTACTTTTGTGTAGGTGTTTAAGTAGTTTAACAAACCGGTAGCCTTTCCAACCACCTGGTTTGGATTCAATGTGCTAGCTGTCACATTTTTGTGTTTTGGTAGGTGGCAGCACTGGCTTTTTTGGCTTTACATTTCACTCTTAGAACAAAGGTCCTCTATCAGTTTTACAAGTGCGAAATCAGAGGTTGAATATTTATATGAATGTTGTAACAACTTTTTGTTTTATGGATGCTTGCTTTATATGAAGCTTTATATGAATGGATGGTTGCTTTATGTGAAACTTTATCTGAATGGTTGCTTTATATTAAGTGCTTTAATAGTGAATGGTTGCATTATAACAAATTTTTTGTTCTGTTTTACTATGGACACAATAATACCTACACATTCAGACAAACACATTGAAACATACACAATGACATATACCTTCATACCATTCCGATTCATACATATGAAATCTCCAAATTGGTACTCATCTGTTTACAATAGCAGAATGCATACATTAAACAAAATTACAACACCATAACCTACTATATTCTTCTACCTAAGTTAACATACAAATCAGTGCAACTAGGACACACAAAAACAGTACAACTAAGTAGTTCCTCATTGTCTTTCTTTCCCTTTCTAAATTTATAACCTCAACATTGTTGGTACTATCATATTGCAGCCTTTGATCTGAATTTTCAAATTGACAACTTTCAGTATCAAATTCTAGCCCTACAGTGTCATCAAACACCCCCCCCCCTTTGCCATTTGGGTGACATAGTGCACCCCTAAGCCTTTTGTTCTCCCATTTCAGCTGATTTATCACATCTTTCGCTCTATTTGTGAATTGCTCATCATGCCATTGAAAGAAACCGCACCCCTCCTTCTACAGTACAAAACACATATATCAATTTCAGTCATCTATATAAACAAGACCACCAATTTACAAACTTACCTTATAATATGGGCATCCATAGAATCGTCTCCCAGGATTCTTATCAGTCCATGAGGTCCAAAGTCTAGCTTCTGTAACCATTCCATTCATGTTTCTGCATTTACAATAGGTGAAACGAGTAGGAGTTCCAGATTCTAAATTGCTTCGCTTCTTCACCGATTCAACGGAGAAAGAGCTTGATTTCTCTTCACCAGTCCACCTCGAACGTGAACCTCCATCACCCATTTCTCTGTTGTTGTTATACGATCTCTGAGAGGCTGGAAGTGGTTGATCGTTTTTATTAGGGTTGCTGAGGAGTTGTTGGGTAGCGTTTAATTGGGGGGAGAAGAGGGAGTTAACGACAGATGGATGGCTCGATTAGGGAGTGGCCAAATGTAACCCAAACAGGTGGCTTATGTGTTTAAATGGTCCACTTTAAACTTCAGTGTCCTATCTGAGATTGCTAAACAACGTCAGTGTCATTTTTGGCCCTTTTCCCTAAATTAAATGACAACGTCTGTATATGTCATTATTAGAAGAAGAAATGATAAAAAAAAATTGAATTGAAGAAATGAGATTCTAAAATAAAAGATATAGAATTTCAAAAAGTGTGATTTAATTGAACATAAATAATTATCATATGGGCTAAAGTTTAAAGAAGCAAAAAAATATTGTGGCTCCTGAGAATTGAACTCGGGCCATTTTGGAAGTCAAAGCTCTCTCAACCTCCACCCTACATTTGAACTATCACAATTCATTCATACAAACAACGACTGACTGTGCTTTAATATATAAATACTTTCTGAACCGGGGCTGAGATATACACATATATTATATATACATACAGAACCGCCGCCGGAGAAGGGAGAGCGCCAGCACCGGCTCGCCCCCTAGTTCCGCCACTGAATTTGTTCTCTTCCTCAAATATGACTCTCCACTCCTATTTTGGAATTTTTTATTGTTTTATTCTTTTAATAGGACTAAATAAGTCATATTTGGAGAATAAAACATACTTACTCCTATTTTTGTAAATTGTCCATCTTTTAGTCTTTTACTAGCACAGTATCCGTGCATACGCACGGGAAAAAACAGTTGGTCCATTTATATTTTTATTTACGATCTGATTAAATGTTAAAATAGTTTTTTTTTTACAATTTTACATCCTTTCAAAAATGGAGTACAATAAGTGAAGATAAAAAAGCATAAATTCATACAACAAATATTCAAATGAAAAGAAAATGAAGTAAAAATAAATCAACACCATCCCATTAGAATTTGATATGTAATAATAATTAGTATTGCTGGTAACAAATAGTGAAATATTAAACTTAATTGTTAGAATTTTGAAAATGTAATTTAAAGAAAACTTTTAGTGGTAATGTCTAATGATTTTCTTTTCTTATCATGTATTAAAATCATCAATTCATGTTTTCTAAACCCCCTGATAACGCCACATATATAAAACTTTAAAGGACTAAAATGCATCTAGGTAGAAATATTGCATCCTTTTCCAGTGATAGAGCTTGATATTGATTTGTTGTTATAACATAGGTGACAATTATAGGAAAATGTATTCCCATAAGTTTAAAACGTCTTATTATGATTGCTTTCTTAATTGTAAAACCAATGATTTTAATCTTTTTACTTGAATTAATTAAAAAGACTTTGTTCTTAAAAGTGTGCTCAAACCTTTCAAGTTATGTAAGCACTACAGACGAACTTCAAAATGCGTTTAACTTTTATTACAAAAAACACATTTTCATAGAACACTTTAATTTTTCTTTTCAAAATCACTTTTCTTTTCAAATAATACCGACTTATACTCGGTGGCGGAGCCAAAAATCTATGGTTAAAGGGGTCGGTCCTTAAAAAATTTACATTGCAGGGGCCAAAGTTTAAAATATCGACATATTTTCTATTGATTAAAAGTATTTATACATTATACATATATATACTTAAGATATATTTTTTTGCAGGGGTCGAGGCCCCCTCCAGCCCCTCCCTGTCTCCACCCCTGCTTATACTGCTACGTATTAAACAGTTTTAATTAAATCTTACAAATAAACGCAAACACCCCTTTATTTCAATGATCACATCAAAAGTGTGTAGTTGTAAAAGTTGGAAGTTTTGATAACAAACGACTTAAAAAAAGACAAATTTAGAGTCAATATTTATCATAACCAAATGCCTTATATGTATCACAAATCTTACCAATAGCACACTCCAATTAGCTTGATTGCGTGCATACCAATATGCAGAGTCAACTACATTACTTTGATTTCCTAAAACTATAGAAGTACATCCCCTTTTGACTTTATTACAAGTATAATTGAAATGATTATAGCCATACTTGTTAGGAGAAAGACAATTTATAAACATAACTAATGGTTAGTGAGACGGGCCCGTTTGGTTTCCATGTGTGCTTGCTTGGTGAAGAAGGTTATTTGGGTGATAATATGTTTGTGATGAAATTTTGTTTGGTTTAGTAGGAGATCAGTCATTTAAGATGGAAACAATGATTTCACTCTTGTTGGAGAAGGCAAGGGCTTGCTTCTTTTAAGTATTATTACAACTTACAAACACCAAGTTATATATCTAGCAAATGTGGGAATTACACAATTCTGCATTGTTTGGAGTTTGGTGGATGTTAAAGCTAACAAGGTGGGTAACATGGCATGCTAACAGCAACACTTACCCTACAAAAAGTTACATAATGTTTTCTAACTGTGAAATCATATTAAATTTTTTGGGAAAAAGGTGCAAATAAGCCCTCGAACTAACCGAAAAGTGTAAATCACCCCTTTTATAGGAGGCTCTGTTCGGCCGTCGCCATTTGAGGCGGTTCCCGCTGGAATTTTTTGATGAACGTTTTTGAGCATCTTCTTCATTAAGTATAGTTTACCCATACCAAATTTCTGCTAAAACTTCAATTGTGAAAGCAATCAAATAAATGTTTGAAGATAACTGCGCAGTTAAACAACGCAGTATATTTCAGAAAATCATTTGACTGTCTTCCCGGTTGAATTTTTACCTGAAGTTTAGTATGGGTAAACTAGAATTAATGAAGAAGATGCTAAAAAAAAATCATCAAAAAATTCCACCGGTAAACGTCCCAAATGGCGACGGCCAGACAGAGCCTCCTATTCATATAAAAGGTGTTATTTGCATTTTTCGGTTAGTTCGAGGGCTTATTTGCACATTTCCCCTAATTTTTTTCATGTATAACAATAATGTTTCTGAACAAAATTTTAAAATATAGTTTTTGTTAAGAAAGAACTCACAATATTTTAATAAAGAAAATGCTCATTTCAATGCCGTCTCCCAGGACAAATTCTGAGGAGTGGTATATTTTTGGGAAATTGTCCAAAATAGGAGCAAATGAGATTTGAAATTCCATAATAGGACTAATATGTTTTTCTTCCAGAAATAGGAGTTGTTACTGTCATGATTGAAAAATACTGTCATTAATTATAATAAATACTGTCATGTTAAATGCATTGTACTGCAACTATTTGACAGTCATGCCTACAAGATGACAGTAAATATTGTCATGTTAGTCTCATTTTGGGAATAAAAACATAGTAGTCCTATTTTGGAATTTCAAACTCTATTTACTCCTATTTTGGGAAATCTCCCTATATTTTTTTGATCATCTGTTTTATACAAACAAAAATTCTTAGATACTTCGTATTTATCAACCATGAAGAGCTACGGCCTGCAAACTACAAGCTTGTGGTATCTTTTTTGGTAGTGGTGGTATCTTAATTGGTGCTTAAGGTTACAAGGCTTGGGCAAAATATGGCAATCCTTGGATTCTCTTCATGTAGATAGATCTAAACCGGTGTATTTGCGCTTCCTTATGCTTTCTAAAAATGATTTATTTTAGAGATTATAGGAAAATCATCAACAATAAAAGTTGATGGCGTTTGTGGTGTTCATGTTTGGTTTCACGTTTAATGTTACCCCCCTCCGTCCCGAATTAATTGTCTTGTTTGCTTTTGCACGAGTTTTAAGAAAGTGGTTGAAAAAATAAAAGTTTTGGTTGAGATTTGAGTAGAAAAAGGTGAATTGATATGAGACACCCATTATTACCAAAAGAAGAAACAAGACAATTATTTTGGGACGCACCGAAAAGGAAAGCAAGACATTTATTTCGGGACGGAGGGAGTACTTTTTAAGTGTAATTAAACTTCAATTATTTATACTAATATAGATACTATAGGGGAGACTTATCTTTATCCTCAATAATTAAAACAGAGACCATTATTGGCAGAAGGTCACTAAAGTTGAGATTATTCTGAGATAATCGATAGTTGGGATTTTTATAAGCGGACCGCCAATAATTGGGATTATTACAATCAATTTTTCCTACTTCATATCAAAATATTGCTCCGTATAATTTTGTATTTGAATTTTAAATAATAGTGTATTTTCTTGTTCAACAAAATAATTTTTCTTTGTTGCACATTTGACAAAACTAATACTCCCTCCGTTCTTTTTTAGTTGCAACGATCAATATTTCACATTTATCAACGCACGTCTTTGACCGTAATTATATCTTAATTCTATTAGTAAAAAAAATATTACAAATCAGATTTTGAATATTTGTAATGAGATGTATTGAACAATATTTAAAAAAAATCATAAAATAATAGCGTAAAATGTAATCAAAGTAGAGAATGTGAATAGTATAAAATTCAACCTGTTACGTTTAAAACGGAACAGAGGATAGTATTATTCAACTAGATCAAAAGGGACGATGATAATCCATAGCCTTTTAAGTCCTCGATTCTTTTAAGTCCTCTATTGCACATTTGCACATGCCAATTAAGTGCAAAAAATTAATCCAAACATATGACTCCACGTTAGAAAAGATTGGTTATAGTGAAGTCATATAATTAACCGATCATAGTAAAATGCAAATACACTACTTGTTTATCAAATTAGATCAGATTTAAATAGCTCCGACAAAAAAAACTAAATTAAAATCGTCCTAAATTCTTAATAGCGCAAGATTGCATCTAAGCCGCAAATTTGAGTCTTTTTAGCTACCAAACCTTTTTCATATTACCACTTTTGTATGATACAGGAGAACATGAAAAAGGGTCAAAAGCAAAGGACATGATAGGTCAAAGCACTTTCAACAAGCCAAGTATCAACCTTATCCTAGTTCTCACAATGAAGGGTTTTTTCCAAATATTGGGTGCTATATTCCTCAAAATTAGTATTCACTATACAACTTGTGAAAGTCTTCAATGAGCCGCGGACACATCCCATATAATATTTTAGAGCACAAAAGAAAGCTGCTACCTGAAAAGTATCAGCCAAATAAAAGTTAGAGCACACAAAGTATCTGCTGCGGAAAAACTTAAGGAAAACGAGATTGGAGACGGGGGTCGGTCAAATGCCCCCAAAAATTCTTTTTTTATATACTCCCTCCGTGCCATCAGAAGGTTTACACTTTCCTTTTTTAAACAGGTTTCATTTTCATTTTAGGAAATAATTAACAATCTTAAGCGACAAACTAATCATTAAATATTAAAAATAATACATTTATAACATCACATTTATCAATACTAACTACATTATAATATATATCTATTAAAATTATTTCTCAAAATATACCCAAAATAATTTATTTAATTATTGCCTAAATAATCGTGCCGTTTTGCTATGGGAACCTTCCAACGGGAGGGAGGTAGTATATATTTTGGAGCAATGTTTTTCAATAATTTATTTAACTAGTTTCCAATTTAAGCTAAAATTAATGGACATAATTTATACTTCATGAAGAACAAGCTCAAAAAATTGTATCAAAAAATTACACCGGAAGCACCTCAAATGGTTTGAAATCGGATCCAAACCAGTCAAATATTTACACCTAGAAAAATAATGTAAAAGTTGTGTGGTTAAGATTTGAGCAGATGAAAGAGAAATAACTTTAATCACAAGTGAATAACTTTAAATAGAAATGACAAAAAAAATTGGACAACTAAATTAGGAAGATTGACAAAAAATCGGGACAAAGAGAGTATAACCGATCTCAAACTAATCCATAATTTTAAATGTCCACCCATATAATTTTAAATTCTAAATGAATGTTATATGTTTTGTTAAATTTTAATAATCGCTACCCGTGGCGGATCTTGCAACCACATATAGGGTGTTCAAAATTATTTTATCTACTGCACATTAATATTGTTTGGTCCACCAATTGAGAAATGTAACTTTTCCAACATTAAAATCCCAAAAATAAGGATAAGAGCAAGAAATATTACATAAAAAGTCAATATATACTACGTATATTACAACATCAGGTCTATATATGTATTTTTACCTTTTATTTTAAAAAATTTGGGTGTTCACATGATCGCTACTACCTTAACCGGCTTAACGGAGCCTTGTTTCTTTGGTTATGCAGCTTAAGGGTCAAGGAGATAAATTATTATAATATTATGTACATTAAAATTTAATGTACATAATATTATATGGTTAAATGATTGAAAAACATAAACATTACTCCCTAGTTAATGTCTGCGTTGCTACATGAGAACTAGTCATCAAGTTAAGCTGTCAAGGCATTACCGCTCTTTAAGAGCATCTCAAAATAACACGCCCCCCTTGTTTGGTTCAAAAGAGTGAAGGCATGCGAAAAAGAAATGGGGAGAGGAGAGGGGAAGAAGCTTTGAAAGATATACTTCGTACTAAGGAGTACATATTACGGAGTACCGAGTATTATGTTTGGTTCCAGAGAAAAGTGAGGAAGAAGTAATATTTTAGAAAAAAAATGTGAAAAAATATTCGATGTCTTTTGTTTTTGATAAAAAATAAAGTAATATATTTGTGTAACAACAAAAATGTAAGCCAAATTTACTATAGCAATAAAAAAGGTTGAAAAGCAAATCAAGAAAAAAGATCACTCCCCAAAATTCCCCCCCAAGGGTTGAAAGCAAATAAAAAAAGACCAATCCGCGAAAATCCCCCAAAGGGGAGCGGAAGAATAAGAGAATCTTGCAAGTACATAGATGACATATCCTCCACTTGTTCCCCACACACACCCCGGGCAAACACCTGAGACCACTCCTAGTCTCCTACCCGACGGCCGACATATTCTCCATTCTCCAAATTCCTTCAACCAAATAAAGGCTATGTGAAATGTCCTGTGCACACTTCACAGAGCATCATATATTCTACGTCCAAAAGGTTGAATCCCCAACCCCAAGGGCCCCCCACCCCGACCCGACAGGATGGTGGGGGAGTAAATCACGGTGACTCAGTCGGCAAAGCAGCAGTAGGCCTTTACCAGTCGGCAAAGCGGCAGTC